AATTATCACAGCTAAAAAACATTCTTGCTGTTCAAATTAAAATCCAACAGCTTCTAGTTATTAAGGAAGTTGTACACTGTACTGTAATATTGTTCTACCGGAATGTCATAGAATATATTCTTATGTACAGTATTGTTATGTAGTGCATATAGTTGTGAGTTGAAGTTCTCAGTCTGGTCCTCTGTTGGAGCGGAAAAATACTCTCTCCTGATTGGTTGTGGGCTGATCAGCTTCCCTATAAAAGGAGCTGTGTCAGGCAGGGAGCAACAGTTGCCTCACAGGCAGTATTGTTAGAATACTGACAGGCAACTGTTAGAAATCACTCTGGCCTCACTTCCATTCTTCACCCAGAATATAACAAGTATTACAGTACAGTTTTAAAAAATAATAATAATAACAGAAGCTATGAGTATGAATTGTAAAGCAATATACAGTATCATGTGCAGCAATGCTAATAATGTCTTGCTTCCTGGGATGTGTATGTTAGTGGGAAGGGTGTATTTTCTCTTTCAGAGAAAACGAAGATATAAAAACTGGCTTTGAGAGGAGGAATTGCTGGAAAGAAGAGTTAAATACCTTTTTTGTGTTGCTGTTTTTCAAATAGCATGCTTGCTTTATTTTTTTTTAAAAAGCCCTAGTACTGCTGAACGATAGTTCATGAACCCTGCATAAATTCTTTAATGTAGTTTTCTTTCATGTTGATTTGTCTTCGAATGCAGGCAATGGCTGGATTCCCTTGGCATAGAGTTACCCAATCTTTGGTGTCAAAAATGATGCGAAACATGCAAACTGGTGTGGTATTACAGGGTTACCTTTGCTTTACCTTCTTTTTCACATTGCAGACCATGCCACCCAAACTGGCAGATGCAGCCCTTAAAACTGTCACATGCTCCTCGATTACTGCAGTGGTTACACTTCAATTTACAGTCTGGTCCATAAAAATCGGGCTCACAACCTGCCAAAATGAACAGTACCAGTGAACTGTTAGGTTGCACACATAGCAGACTGCCTGAATAGCATTATGCAACAGATCACCATGCTTTTAGACCAGGGGTGTCAAACTCAAGGCCTGGGGGCTGGATCTGACCCATGGAGTGCCACAGGGCCGCCCTGGAAACAGCAAGGGACTGGCCCATGGTGTCTCTGCCAGTGAAAATGGAGCTCCATTTTCACTGGCAGAGGGTTGTACGAGGCCATTGCAGCTGAAAAAGGAACTCGGGAGCCCGTTTTCTGTGGCATAGCGCTCAGGCCGCCCCAGGCACCCCCAACACAAGTGACATCAAACTGGCCACACCCACCCTGGCCACACTCTCTTTGGCTTCCCAAGGTCAAACACAATCCTGCTGCATCCCTCAATGAAATCGAGTTTGACACCCCTGTTTTAGACCATCCTATATTTGACTGACATCAGACTCTCTCACATTGGTAGGGAGTTGCTGAAATCCAGACCCCAGCAGAGTATATTCCAAAGGCTGTGTTTTACCCTTGGTAAAATCCATATAATTTTGAGCAAAACTAAACTCTGCAGCTGGCTAAATGTTGTACTCCTCCCATATGTAGCTATGGTGTAGCTCTTGTTTAATAACTGTTTCCAGTTACATCAACAATGAAAAAAGTAGCTTCATGATCAATCGTCACGTTTTCAATATTTACAAATCTTTATAGCAAAGAAAAGCTTGAAGTAAGATCCTAAGCACAGTCTTAGTTTCAGTTAGCAACTGCTTCACTTAATGACCAATTTACTGGTCCCAGTTGCAGTCATTAAATGAGGATTACCTCATTATATCATTTCTTGGCAGAAAAATATGTATTGACTTTCTTAAGCACTTGTGCAATATTCAACCGAGATGCTGACTACATTATATGGTTTTAAAAAGCATAGAAGGAATGAGTTTAATCCAGAGGCTGGATTAAAAATGAGCAAACTATCCCACTGTACTTTTCCCCCCGTAGAATTAAAGTATATTCTTAGCAAAGCTGAGTTATCCCTTGCTCCCTCCACAAACACATATATTGAACCTACAAAGTTAATTTTCTTATTTCATTTTACCTTCATCACACAGGAGTCCCTTCCATCCTGAGGCACATGAACATCCATATGGATCAGGCAAGCAGAACACCAAAGATTTGCATCCTGATTTTTCTTTACATTTTTCTTGGCATGCCTTCCCAAATGTGTTTTCTCCGCAAGCTTTTTGTTGTTGTTGTTAAAAAAAAAGGACAATATTTAAAGTGAGGTGAAATAATATTTCTTGGATGCCTGAAAATTGTGATAAGCAAACTTTATTTTCAAAGTGTAAAAGTAATTTTTTTTAAAAATCTGTCTTCCTCCGTTTTTAACTCTTTACTTTTTAATAATTTATTTTCTGTAAGCCGCCCGGAGTCCTTCGGGATTGGGCGGCCTATAAATTTATTAAATCAATCAATCAATCAATCAGTAATATAACAAAAGCAGAATCCTCCAGAAAGAAAGCATGTGTTAAATATTCACTCAACAAAGCTCTTTTTTTAATGTCTGACACACAGAGAAGTGGGTAACTCCTAGGTGGGAGCTCATTTTTACTTTACCTTGGAAGTTAACAGCTATAGTAAGAGAAGCACAATCACTAGACATCCCTGCTTAGATCATACATTAAACATTTATGTCTCCAAATGCTGGAAACCATGCTTTATTTATTTACTTGGACATAACTGCCAGACTTGGGCAGTTGATAAATGATATGATGATGGACAGATTGATAGATTAAGAAAGGAAGGAAAGAAGGAAGGAAGAAAGAAAGAAAAAGAGAAAAAGANAAATTAGTTGTTTTCTAGCCTAGCAAATTGTAACCTTAATACTGGATGGCATTACTGCAAATGTTATCTCACTGCTGCGTCTCAATTCTATTCTTGGCTTCAAAGCTAGGCACATTCTTGAAAACATAGAATAAATTGTTACACGGGAATATTAGGCCCCACAGATAAAGGAACCAAACTAGGGAGTTTTCCTGGCTCAGAAATTCTTAAAGCATTCTGCCAAAAAACAACTTGGCAAAGAGGGGCTGCCACCTCCTACACAAGGCTATAGGAATGCTCCATAGATAAGGTAGACAGAGACAGGAGCTTGAACAAAAAATGCTTTAAAGATCATGTTGGTAACAAATTTTTGTCTCTGATTGGATAATCTTTGTTTCTATCTGCCTAAAATGTATATAATACTCTGAGCCATTCTTGCAGGGTGTGGCTATTTCTTACATGCATTTGCTTGTATGTTTTGAATATAGTTTTGTCACCCAGCTTTTGCTATGGCCATAAATAAAAGCTGATATTTTTTGCAAGCCTTGTCTCGAGTCTCATTTTCTTTGGCATTTCAGTGGCTCGGGGAAACTGTTGGAACCTTACAATCCTTTCACCATCCTTTGATCTAATCATAGTGATTTGTAAGTATGGCATAGAGGTACAGTAAGAAAATGATTATTAGGATTTAAAAGCTCCCTCTTCTATCTTTCCCAAAAAAATCAATCTAGGAAACATTCTCATTTGCTGAAAGAAAAAGGCTGAACCTTTAATTCTGATTGGCGTTCCACTTTACATTAAAAGGCATTTCTAAAAAAAACAATTTACAGCAGTGGTGGGTTCCGGATCCCATTGCAAACAGTACGGTGCAACGGGGCTCAGCGCCCACCACATGAACGCTTGTGATGCTCCAGCTGCTTGGCGGACTCCATGCACTTGCACGGAAGCCCTGAAAACTTCAAATACCGGTAAGGAGTGCAGGTTGGCCCTCCGGAGCACCGTACTGGAATGGTACCTAGTGCTCCCGGCAGGCACCGGTATGCCCGTACTGGGGCATACCGGTCGTAACCCACCATTGATTTACAGGTAGTCCTCAGTTTATGACCACAATTGAGCCCAAAATTTATTTTTCAAAATGAGAGAGTTGTTAAGTGAGTTTTGCCCCATATTACGACCTCTAGCAATAGCAGTTAGACTTATATACTGCTTCATAGGGCTTTCAGCCCTCTCTAAACGGTTTACAGCCCCCAACAACAATCCGGGTCCTTATTTTACCCACCTCGGAAGGATGGAAGGCTGAGTCAACCCTGAGCTGGTGAGATTTGAACAGCCGAACTGCAGAACTGTAGTCAGCTGAAGTAACCTGCAGTGCTGTATTTAACCACTGTGCCATCTTGGCTCTTTTTTTGCCACAGTTGTTGCCACAGTTGTTGAGTGAGCCACGGCAGTTGTTAAATTAGCAACGTGGTTGTCAAGTGAATCTGGCTTTGCTTGTCAGAAGGTTGCAAAAGGTAATCACATGACTCCGGAAGACTGCAACTGTCATAAATATGAGTCAGTTGCCAAGTGTCTGAATTTTGATCATGTGATTGTGGGGAAGTTGCAATGGTTGTAAGTGTGAAAAATAAGTGACTTTTTTCAGTGCCATTGTAACTTTGAACTGTCACTACATGATTGGTTATAAGGATTACCAACGACTATCTGTACACTGGATACTGATGTTGAGACTATTTGCAGCTCGCTTCTTTCTGGTAATGTTTGCAATGCCCAGGGCATCAAGCCACTGACATTAGCTAGCAGTTACTGAAATCACTTGGATAAATGCACTGAAGCTG